GGGTTTCAGGGTAGAGCGGGAGGGAAGGATGGCCAGGGTAGAGTGGGAGTGGGTAGGGAGTTTCCGGGTAGAGCAGGAGGGGGTTTCAGGGTAGAGTGGGAGGGGGAGGATGACCAGGGTAGAGTGGGAGGGGGTAGGGAGTTTCAGGGTAGAGCAGGAGGGGGTTTCAGGGTAGAGCAGGAGGGAAGGATGGCCAGGGTAGAGTGGGAGGGGGAGGGGCTTTCAGGGTAGAGTGGGATGGAAGCTGATAGCCAGGGTAGAGGGTTGGTATGAGCTGTTAGGATAGAGAGTGGCGGTTTGTGTGGTCATCGCGTAACTGCTCTCTTGTTTTCTCGCCCCGTCGGCGTCATGTATATAGAGCCATTGTCTTCGTTTCGTGGCCCCCGTCGTGAGCAAGTACTCGTCGCATCGGCATTCTCTTGTTTCTCATCATCGTCGCGAAATCGAAGCCGTTCTCTCGTTCACATCAGCGTTCACTTGTTTCTCATAGTCGTTCTCTTGTTCTCTCGCGTCGTCGCGCGCCCCCGCCGCCCCGCTCCCCCGCGCCTCTATCTAAGTGTCTTTGCCGTGGGGGCGTCTGTGCGCACGCCGCACGCTAACAGGCCCCCACGCTTCTACAGGTGCACCAGCTTCGCAAGGTCGCGTGGCCCGGCCTCACTACGCAGGTGCCCGAGGTGGCGCACCTTATGCGGAGGCTTCGCTTCACGCAGGAGCAGTACGAGACGCTCGCGCAGAACTACACGCAGCAGGGCAGCGGCGGCGGCGTCGCGCGATCGTACGCGCGCGGCGCGTGCGCGTGGCTGCGCGCGAACGAGCACGTCTGGAGCGGCTGGATCCCGAAGCAGCTCGGAGCGAAGGCGAAGATATACCTCGGAGGAATGTTCCCGCTCACGGGAAACTACTTCCGGCAGCCGGGGCTGCTGCCAGGTACGCGGGAGGGAGCGCGGGGTTGAAAATACAACGGGAGAGCGATGAGCGATGAGCGATTCAAACCTCCGAAATCGCTTTCCCGTGAGGCTCAAAATAGCTCCCGTAAAATTCATGACGAGCGCTATTTTTTTCCGCAGACTTTTGAAAAAGAGCTCCCGTGAAAAAAAAATTAATTTTTTACAATTCATTAATTGGGGAGAGTTGTTTGAGAGGAGGGAGAGGAAGGGAATAATGTTTTGTGGGTGTGGAGGGGTGGTTAAGAGGAGGGGAGAGTCTTGCTGGTGTGCTTTCAGGGATGGGATGAGATGCAGAGTGGGGAGGGTTTCCCCGGGAAGGGGTGTTTGAGAAGAGGGGAGAGTGTGTTTCTGGTACGTAGGGCAGGAGGAGACTGTTTTAGAGGAGGGAACGTATTTGGTACGAGGGGGTAAGAGAGGAGTGTTGCTGGTGTGTTTCGGAGGAGGGAGTGTTTGTGGTTCGCGTGGGGGCAGGGGTGTTTTTAAGAAGAGGGGAGGGAGAGTGTTGATGATGTGTTTGGGAGGAGGGAGTCTTTCTGGTAAGTGAGGGGGAAGACACTGTTTTGATGGAAGTGGAGAAAGGGAGTGTTTCTGGTAGAGGGGAGAGTGTTTCAGCTAAGTGAGGGAGGAAGGGAGTGTTTTATTTAGGTGGGCAAGGATCGGAGTGGGTGTTTCTGGTACTTTGGTGGGCAGGGTGGGTTGAGAAGACTTGAGAAGAGGAGAGAGTATTTCTGGTATGTTTGGGAGGAGGGAGTGTGTCTGGTTCGTGGGTAGGGAGGGGAAGGAGGAGGAGGAGACTGTCAATGTGGAGGAAGAGGAGGAGGATATTACATAGAGGGACTGTTATATATGGAGGGCACCATTCTATAGATGAGACCGTTCTATAGAAAAACCGTTAAGTAGAGGTGGCTGTTATAGAGAGGGAACCGTTAAATAGAGGTGGCTGTTATATAGAGGGAAGCATTATATAGATCATTTATGTATGGTGTTCTGTTTCAGGTTCGGTTGGTTCGCACCGAGTTTCATCATCGAACGACAGTGGCAGGACGTTCACGTCATCGCCGACCACTGGAGGGCGCTGCAGAAGGACAAGGTTGTTCACTTGTTTGACCTTGACGATCATCCCGACCTTCTGGACAGTGTCGTCTTCAACGAAAAAGTCTGCAATCAGCAACGGTTCCGGTACATGCTGTTATCTATTATATATGTCTGTACCAGCACATCCTGTTATCTATTACATATGTCTGTGCAAGCACGGACTGTTATCTATTACATACGTCTGTCCCAGCACATCTTGTTATCTATCCAGGCGGACTGACAGATGGACGGACAGAGAGACTGACAAAGGGACGGATAGAGAGGCAGGCAGAAATGGATGGGGAGATGACAGTGTGTAGTATGAAAGAGAGGGGCAGGGAGAAAAGATATATGTAGGAGGCGAGACATGAGGGACATTGGGGGCAGCGACAGTGCAGAGATAATTGTACTCGTCCGTTTGATGGATCCGCCGCTTAATGAGATTTAATTAATGCAACTCTTGTCTGCAAAGAAACCTCCATGCTTTCGACATCAAATTATCGTTTTCCCCGATATCAAATTACGGGGTTTCATTAGACGATGTTGCTGATACTGATGCAGATATGATGCTGATGTTAATGCTGATGCAGATATTGATGATGATGCTGCTGCTGATGTTGATGATGATGCTGATGCTGATGCTAATGTTGATGCTACTGATGTTGATGCTGATACTGATGTTTATGCTGATACTGATGTCAGTGTTGCTGCTGCTGCTGCTGATGATGATGATGATGCCACTGATGATGATGCTGATGCTAATGCTGATGCAGACAGTGATGGGGATAAGGATGGGGATGGGGATGTGGATAGGGATGAGGATGGGGATGTGGATGAGGATGGGGATGGGGATGAGGATGTGGATGAGGATGAGGAGGCGGATGGGGATGAGGATGGGGATGTGGATGTGGATGAGGATGAGGATGAGGATGAGGATGTGGACGAGGATGGGGATGGGTATGACTATGAGGATGAGGATGGGGATGTGGATGAGGATGGGGATGGGGATGAGGATGTGGATGAGGATG